GGAAGTCTATGGCCTTTGTTTGGCTCACGAACGGCGTGACAAGGGCGGTGAAGGTGCCTTCGAGTCGCAGTGCCTTCGTCGATGTCATTGTCAAGTAGATTCGGCTTGGCACCAACACTAGCTCTGAGACATGAATACATAAAATATTAAAGTTTTCGAATAGTGGAGGATTTGTATACTATTGTAGATTCAGCCCAAAATCGAAATTTCCTGCAAATTGTACAAAACACGCTCCAACTCACGTCCAATCGAATTATTATCGTCCGCCGACACCAGGATACACTGCTTGTATGGACATTTCATGTTGGGCTTGTCAAAATCGTACTTGGCATATGTATATGGCAAAGCACCATCGACCATATCGCGTTGGATTGAGCAGTACACTCATAATGGGTCGACTGAGTGGCTGGAATCGTCCGCCAAGTTCCGGAAGTTCGACACAGCCAAACGAGAATGGATCCTACAGCTTTATCGTGAGGACCCCTTGCTCTATCTGGCAGAAGCAGCAGCGAGGTTCAGTGCCCACTTGTCAACATCAATCAGTTCCTCAACTCTTTGGACCATCTTGCAGAATGCTGGCATGTGTTGGAAAGTGCTGGAGCGACGTGCCATTCAAATCAACTCCATGGATATTGTTCGGTTCTGCAACGAATTACACTCATTTCCATGGCTCTTGGACAACCTGGTGTTCTTGGACGAAGTTTCTTTCGACAACCATGACATGCTGCGCAAAGGTGGATACTGTGTGAAAGGTGAAAAGCTCATTTTTCGAGGCGAGTTCAACAGAAAACCGCGTGTTTCCCTGCTATGTTTCATTAGCAGCAATGGCCTGAAAGAGACGTGTGTTACACTAGGCACGTTTGACAGGAGTGTCTTTGTCGAATGCCTCCGTACTTTTGCCCGCAACAGTGAAGTCAAACAATATCCGGGGTCAATGTCGGTGTGGATTATGGATGGGGCGAAAATTCATTGCAATGACAACATCATCTATTTCATGCGTTCGTTGGGAATCATGCCTCTCTTTCTACCGGCCTACTGTCCATTTTACAATCCGATTGAAGTATTATTTTGCCTGGCAAAGCGAAAACTCAAGCAAGTCCACGTTGAAAACTCCAGTCGCGACTTTACTCTGGTAATCTCCGAGGTGTTTGGGCAGTACGAAAATTACACCTTTCGACGAATATTCAAGAAATGTGGATACGTCTCGGATTCCGTTTTTAACGCCGGTATAGGAATGGAACAAGATTTTGAGAAGTTTGGATTCGCCGCTAACTCGACAATGAATTTAAGTGTTTTCTTGATTTTAGTTGTGATCGACATCGTTTTGCTCTGCAATTTGATCAAGTATTGGGAACCCATACACAGTTTCATCCGTTCCAATTTTCTTTTGCAGCACCAAAACCATCAATCAGGACCGCATTGTTGGCCAAAAGCTGCTTCGCAGCATCGATTTGATTCTCAAGACACTTGATGATGTCTCCCAGTTCTTCAAACTTGCGCTTCGTCAAACGAACAGAACCTTCTACTTGCTCAAGAACTCCACTGAAGCTCTCGTTCAAACCTTCCGCAACACCGAGGCCACGGCGAGCATGATGCATCTGCACGTCGGGCTGCATAGGAGCATGAGCAAACAAGTGGATCAATCGGGGTGGTGGGGGCTCCATGACAAGCACATCATGGCGATGGGCAGGGGACGATTGGATGAAGTTCGCCCACATTTGCCAGTTGATATCTTGAGAGCGAAATGATCGACCATGAATTTCCTTCAATCTTGCCTTCAACGCCAACAATGGTGCGACTGTCGTAGCCCCGGCACGGTCTTGCTCGGTGGGTCGTATAAGTATTGACTCGACAAGTGTCCACATGCCCTTGGAATGCAGCAAATTGGAGGAGCATTGGATGTATAGCTGGACGTCTTTTCCAAACCAGCGTTGCAGGAGTGCGCATGTGACTTCTCCTAGTTCCATCG